GAAAAGGAAAAAAAGGAAAAAAAGGAAAAAAAGGAAAAAAGGAAGGAAAAAAAAAAGGGTCCACCGAGAATATCATCTTGACAACATCTGAAGGAATGGTAACAAAAATAGAAGGAATGATGATTCGACGCTAAATGCCTAACCTTTGAGAGTCCCGACCCAACTTGGCGGAGTGATAATCGAAGAGGGCATCCTCACTGCCTGTCTCGCAATATTCTCGACGAATCTTGCGAGCCAGACGATCCAACCTATTGATTCGACTGGACCGTTCGTTCCTCCATGCCCCAAGATCCCTCTCCCAGTCGAGCGAGCCTACTCCTATTTTATAGCGTCGTGCAGATCTTCCCCCGTTGTCAGATCCTCTCATCCACACGTGATCTCCGCCAGGGAACGTTTCCGGCTAGGTACCTGGCACCTGCACAGACGAACGAACGAACGAACTCCATGGAAGGTAGAAGACCAAGTCATAGCTCGAGACGACCCAGAGCCAACACCTCTTCACAGCCCCAGTGGCAACGGACCGAGCAGCGGCAATCGCAAGCGCGCACGATGCCGCGTAGGTGCCTGACTGCCCGTATACCCAGCCCCGGAAACGAGGCAGGGGACGCGCGCATGCGAAGCCGCGAGCCGGATCGCTCAGAGGGCGAGAAGCTGTGGTGTATGTAAGGTATATAGGTATACCACACAGGCCACCAGCGGCTGCGCGATCGATGTGTTTTTGATATCTTATCTTCTCTTCTCAGGGCAAGAGAGAGAGAGAGAGAGAGCTGGAGGTGGACCTGCCGTTCGCTCGCCAGCCTTCGGGGCTGCGTGCTGGCCGTTTCTGCTGAGGGAGGCAGTCGCGGTTTTCAAGTCTCGCTTATTATGAGAGTGCGAGATAGGAAGGAGCGCGTGAGGAGGAGGTAGCTGCAGTGGGCTTCGGGAAGGATGAAATAGTTAAAGACGATTAATCGAGTGAGCCTTGGGATATGAAGTTGCTACTTCACGTCGTTACCCTTTCGATCGTGGACGGCGGGGCGGTGTCGATGATGGGTTACGTGTAGTCATACCGGTCCACTTGAATCTTGGCGGCAGCTGGGCTACCCTTGAGTCTTTTTTTCTTTTTTCTTTTTTCTTCACGTACTTCGTCGCCGGACAGCTGTGTCGCTAGCTATTCCATTGGAATTCAGAACGCAAGTAGAGAAACCGCCCGCGTAGAAAAATATCGGCAGCAGAACCGCAGTTGGCAGCAGCAAAGACCCGACTGCTACACTCACTTGCAACTGCTAATGCCTGACCTTCTATTCCGCACCAAAACTAAACTGTTTTACATATGACAGCTTCCATTTTCTGTAACCTCACCTATTGAAAAGCAAGGGCATATCATAGCCCTTATAATAATAAGAAATAGCCGATGGCTACATGACGACTTTATCTTATAATATCATTGAGTGGAGTTGATCAAAGCTGCAATATAGAAAAGGTGGCGATTCATTTAGCTTGAAAAGAAGTCTTTTATATATATATATATATATAAAAGGGGGGAGCGACTTTTGCGTTATCTTTTGTATCTAGGTCTACTAAAGAATTAAATTCGAGGTTGACGGTTTTCAATAGATTACGTCCCCGAATATAAAATCGGGAAACACTGGCAAGTTTTGGTTTTTTTTTTTTTTTTTTTTTTTTTTTTTTTTTGAAGTATTGATCCTTACTTTTGGTGCGAAAGAAGTGGCTTCACGCATCAGCAGCTACGTACTTAGCACTACTGTACATACCACCATCAATCAGGCTCGACGGGGACAAAAAAAAAAAAAAAAAAAAAAAAACCCACACACACCCTCTGATACAGTATTATTCCAGAGACCAGAAACCCAGCCAGGCAGCGCGGAAAGCGCCGTGGGAAAATCGCAGCAGCGTCCTGCCCGCTAGTGCACGCATGCACGCATGCAAGCAAGCAAAACGGTCTCGGCCCCAACATCGCCACCACCGGTACCGTACCTACCGACCGAGAGGTGCGCGTGTCCGACCCGACCTGGCCTCGACCTTTCTGCTTTCCTGCGGTCGGATCCATCCGTCCGCCTTCTTTCCGTGGCTAGGGGGTATGTGCGGCGCGACCTCGAGCGGCGCTCACCGTAGTGCGTCCTAGACGTGCGGTAGTCATCGGGGCGCGGCGGCTCTTTACATCGATCGTAGGCTCGGCTCGGCTGGCTCGAGCTGTGTGTGTGTGTGTGTGTGTGTGTGTGTGTGTGTGTGTTCCTGTGTCAAGAGTCTTGGAGTCGGAAAGGCAGCTTACGCTGATAGATGCTGGGGAACGTCTATACATTCATCCATACATATATATATA